CAGTGACCAAATATTACTCAAATGAAAATATTACTAGAGAAACTAAATCATAACACTCTTTAAATTCTCACTATAAGAAAAGATCAAAGATTCTCCTTAGAGGTGCAAATAAAGGAGTTGGAAGAATGAGCTTTATTTTGCAACCTAAGGCAACTTTAAACATCATTTCATGGGATATTGATCATTTTGTATTGCAGTGCTAATGATAAACATTTGCAAAAAGATCACCAGGAAGAAAAGCCCGGCTCATGAGTCAACATCTATTGCAGAAGATAAGGTAGAGAAATTCTATGAAGAACTTGATGTGGCTTCCTGAGTTAAATCAATTATGCTTTACTATTCAGTGACTTCAATGTAAAGGTGAGTAAAGGGCAAAACATATGTCAGGAAACATGATTCAGGAGTAAGAAATGAAAGACCAAAGGCTAGTACAATATATATAAGCCTCACAAACATTCATCACAAATACTTTGAGAAGAGATACAGAAAGCAATGAGTAAGAAAAGTACCAAATAGCATTGCAAAAATTGACCTTAATTATATTTTAACAGATAGAAACAGATAGAAAATGGCTGATTATGAATGAGGGTCATTTCCAATAGGAAATGGCTGATTACTAATGAGGGTCATTTCCGAATCAGATGTTTGTGTATAGTCAGACCACCAATTCATTAGAGCAGAGATAAAAATCAACACTGACATTAGAAGAAATATTAAAAATTGAGGTGAACTATGGCCATCAGTTGGGAGATATTCCAACCTAAATGATTTAAATGAGCTTTCTATGGCACCAAATGGGAAATGGATAAAAGAACAGATATAAAAACAATTATCATATTTTCTTCTCAAGGAAATTTCATTGATATAAATCAGTCATCACAATGAGAAAAGCAAAGAAACCTAGAAACTGTTCTGGACCAGCAAAAGCTTAAGAATTCCTCTCCCCTCCCCACCCCTGACCAAAGCAGTAAGTTACTGAAAGTAAGGGCAATACCAGTTTAGAATACACACACACACACACACACACACACACACACACAAATTTGTAAAATTTTATGGAGAAAAAATATCATTGTGAATAGAATGACTTCATAAAGGTGATAGGTGGCACAGTGGACAGAGCTCTGCACTTGGAGTCAGGAAGACTTAAATTTGAATACTGTCTGTGTGATCATAGGCAAATCCCATCAATAAAACGGGGATAAGAATAGCACCTACCTCATAGGGTTGTTGTGTGGATCAAATGAGATAATACACGTAAAGTATATTGCAAACCTGAAGGTGCTAGATGAGTTTATAGTTGGCTATTATTGATACATACTATAAAATGGCTAGATTCAATGGAGAGAAAAACAAATTTACAGAAAGCCTGGCGAGAGAACCAACTAAGCAAAATCTTCCCAAAGACATTTAAGGATGGCATTAGAAGGAAGAAAGAGAACAGATGAAAAAATGGAAAAGATCTGTCAAGACTTCTATAATAAACCCCTTTTTCCTCCATCAGTAATAGTGCAGCCATCACCCTAGGACCCTAAAGCATCATAGTCCTCAATGTACTGCCCAAGGAAGTAAAAATGGCACTAATGAAACAAAGACAGGAAGAACACACGTAAACCAAGTGTACACAGAGATGGTGTATACTGGAGGTGACAAAACTAAAAGTTTGCTGACCTCTGATGAATATCTTAAGGTATCTGAAAGGAAAATATCAAATGCTTAGGGGGAAAAAAATCACAGACCCTCATTATTACCTCTCCCCCAAAAAAAGTGAATGAGAAAAGTATCAATAACTACTGACTGACATACCTACTTTCCCATATCTACATAATATAAAAACAACCTAAAAAGGCACTGAAGGCAAGCTTTGATGAAGTTTTGAAAAGGGCAGACAGGCTTTGGCAGAAGATATTCTATAGCAGACCACATCTTGGTTGACTGAAAGGAGTAAAGAATACAATATCCGACTATGCATATTATTTGGTTACTTTAAAAAACCCATATTAGATTCAGTAACACAGAATACTGCCTTAAAGGTGCTTCTCCAACAAGGTGTCTCCCGTGCAATTGTATAACAGCAAAGATAGTTTCACTTGATAACTCTTTTATTATTATTATAAATAATAAAGGCATAAAACAGGTAGATAGATGCTCAGCAAATGTGTTTGCCACTATCATGGAAGATGACAGCACAGAGTTCAAATAGAAGAGAGATTCCCTGTTGATGGTCAGGGCCTTGCAGATATTCCTGTTTGCACATAACCTTGTGTTAACTATATCAACCCTGAAACACTGTAGAACTTACTAAATGAAATCTATAATCACTAAAAAATAACTTGGCTTAACTGTCCATGATGGAAAAACCAAGTAGATGAAGAAAGTCTCATGTTCAGATTATAACATCCAAAGGAATGGCAAACCCCTAGAACTGGCATATACATTTTGACAGACACTGGACAGAAAACAAGTTGGGTCCCAAATTAAATAGGAATTGGAGAGCAGTCAGGATTGCCTTTAAGAAATTACCTAGTCTTTTAATGATCCTGAGTTTCTTGCTGAGACACACACTCATCTTTTTAAAACATCAATATTTTTCTAGTGCTGCGGCATGGCTGCAAGTCATGAAATACCAAATCTCCAAAGAATTAAAGTCATGGATCACCCAAAGACACTGGAGAGATACAAGACAACATAGGATGTGTGAGAATGAGATGTGGATGGGTTACAATCTTGGAGTGAATACTCATATTAATGAGATCATAGCTTTAGTCAAGTATTGAAGACAAAAAGAATATGGGGGGAAGCTAGATTGCTTTTATTGAGAAAACATTAATTTTATCTAAAAAGTGGGTGTATAATATAAAAAGCTCTGGTAAAAAAAAAACTTGAGATCAACCTTAGTTGATATACACGACAGTTTCACACTGAAATCAATATCAATTCCCTTCATATAAAGAATGGATTATCTCCATATAAGAGTTGAGTGCTAACAGGAGGGGTGATAGAAGGGTTAAGGCAGCTAGCTCAATCTCCATATCAATTTAATCCCTAGTTTTTTCTAAATATGTTTCTACAAGAGCCCACAGGGACATCATTTCTTTGTTTGCACCTTCCTTTTATTGAGTTATGCCTCCAGATAACCCAAGCAACAGTATAAAACTTTATTTTCATGTTTTTAAGAAGTTGGCCACTTTCTTTACTAGACTATTAAAATACACTCAGCTCTCAAAGAAATATCTTCTTATTTAACTTTAAGGAACAAGTGAAAGTCACAATGAGATTTAGGGCTAGAATTATGCGTTGCTTATTTTTAGGGAGATGGTAAAGTTGTAGTCATATCTCTAGGATATGTGATTTCAGTGACAAAAGAAAATCCCAGTTAAGGAAATTCCCTCAGTCAATGTAGGTCAACACCTTCTCTGAAACTCAGGGTCTTAGAGAACTGCCTAGAGCAATAAGAGGTTAAAGTAACTTACCAAAGGTTACAAAGACAGTCAGAGTCAGAAGTGGAATTTGAACTCAGGTCTTCCTGGCTCTGAGGTCAGTTTTTTTTTCACAGCATTTACATAAATATTATATGTATAGTCATAGACTGTACCTGTATACATGGAATCTTTCACATAAAGACGGGAAAGAAATACATTCCCTTAAAGTCTATTCGTTTGGATCTGTGCCGTTCAGAAAGTATGTAAATGTTTTTGAAGGGTCACACTAGGCCTCAAAGTCAGATATCTGTGCAGGCTTTGACTGAGAATTGCAAAATTGAAAGAATATGAAGGACAAATTAAAAAGCATATAAGGTTTGTCTCATAAAACAGAAAGATAGTTATTTGCTGCTGACTTATTTGGTGTCTGAATCAAGTATGAAAGCTTTGAAATATGATCGTGAAAAAATCTAAGATTTGAGTTATTTAAAAGAATAGAAATATTTGTGGTAATACCTCCAGTTAGATTTAAGTTATATTTAAAATCATAAGCTCTACTTCCTTCTTGATAGGAAATCAATTAAGACTATATTGCAAAATTGGCAATATAAAACCAATTAGTATTCTTAAAGTGACTTAAAATAATTGAATTGAAGGAGAATATCAGAAAGAGGCTGTTTTTAAATCACTATTGCTTTCATCAGTCTTTAGTAGAGTCTGCTTTCCCTTGAAGTGCAAATATAACAAACCGCACAGCATTTGTACCACAAAGAAACAAGCAATGACCACATGCCAAACAACAAAACAAAGACCTACACTCAGAAACTGTCATGAAATTATGATGTAGCAGAAAAAAATCTTGGTAAAGAAGAGAAAACAAAGCCACTTTACAATGGCATTTTAAAAACACTAACTGGGGGAATTCAAGTTGCTTGTGAAAAGTCAACATGATATGGGCACTAAAAGACAGAGGTGGATAATTCTTAAAATGTGTCAGAATCAAATTGAGATTACTGATTCATACTTTACTTAAGACTACTCAATCAGTCCCACTTTAAAATGCAGGGGAATCTTCAAATCTCTCTTTCTCCTCTCCACTCCACTCTTCTTTTTCACCCCCTCCTCCTCTTCCTCATTCCCCTCCTGTCTTCTCCTTCTGTCTTTCCCTCCCTCCCCATTCTCCCTTTCCCTCTCCATCTGTCTCTCTCTCTCCTTCCCTCTCCCTCTTTCTCTCTGTCTCTCTGTCTCTTTCTCTCACGGTATCTCTCTGTCTGTCTGTCTCTCTCTCTCTCTCTCTCTCTCTCTCTCTCTCTCTCTCTCTCTCTCTCTCTCTCTCTCTCTCTCACGGTATCTCTCTATCTCTCTCTCCCTCCCCCCCTTCTCTTTTCCTCCACATCCTTTCCAATAGGGGGAAAAAAATGGAATTTGTACTTCTCCCTTCTCTATAAACTTTTAAGGCTTTTGCAAAAGTTGACAAATCAGGTTAATTAATTTTACTGCCCAGGATTAAAACACAAAGCAAATATCAGATAAATCAGAAAAAGGAAGCGCACACATATACAAACACATAACAATTACCTTTAGCTGATTATTGAAAATGTCAATCTCCTGTAGCTTTGATCTAGTTTCTTTCTCAACCTCATCCAGCTGGTCTCTCAGCTGCTGACGAGCAAGCTCTTTTGCTTCTAAGGCTCTTTTAAGTGTAAGAAGTGAATCTCCTGTTTTAAAAAAAAGTGAATTGAACAAAACCCAAGATAATAATCAGTAAAATAAATAATTCTTAATGTCTTTTTTTGACATTTCAAAAAATGCTGGCCAATTAGGATGAATGAAAACTTTTAAAACAAAACACCTACTGTGCAAACTGTTTTGCTGAACTTGTTTTAATTGGTCATTGAGTAACTGTTTTTCAGGAATCAGCCTTCCAAGCATTTGCTGAGATTCCTAGGGAAAAAAAAAAACAATGAAATAATGGGGCAAGAAAAATTACCATGTCAATTACCAGGCAAGGCATAAAAGACAGTTTTCCCTATTTTGGAGACTGTCCTCATAAACTCAGCTATTCAGATAGGAAATATAACCTAAGTGTACTTTCTGAGATTAATCCTCATTGTTGAAACAGAATTGACCTTGAGTCAGAGAGGTTCCTGCTTGTGGCTTCTCTGAAGTTGCATTTATTAACTTCTGCTTTAATGGTAGTCAATACCTTTAACTCCCATCAAGTAACAACTGAAAGAAAGCTGAATTAATGATTTCAATAATTCAGCAGGATGGAATGTGCACATTAAAGTATATTGCATCTTTTTGTAAGTTGGTTCAATAACTGAAGCAAAATGTTTATATTTAATCAGACAATCTTAGGTCTTTCAATGTTCTGTAGTTAGAAAACAAATCAAAGAATGTTCTTTTTATCAACTATGTCCAACAACTATGTCAAAATGTCCAACACCACTATTTTTTTTTGCCCAAATAGAGTGGAGATAAGGTTTTGACATAATCACAAAAACATACAATTTAAATTCCAGCCAACTTTTTTGTGATTGAAGGAAAACATTTCCTATTGATTGATTAAGTGCCTATGTGTATCAAGTAAATTTAATGGTAACTTTTTGCGCAACCTGATATACAACATATTTAGAACTCTAATTTGTGCTATTAAGTATCCGCTGTGATTTCCAAACAATACAGAAAACAAGACAAAAGTTCAAAGTCACTGAGAGGTACTATTTTCTGTTCAAATTATAAAAAGTTTCATATTTAATCAATTCTTGTTCCTATAGAAAGGTAAGTAAAATTTCTACCCATCTTTCCTGCCTCTAAATCAAGGGTTCTTAACTATAAATTTCAGAGAGTTTGTGAAGTTGGATGGGGGAAAAAATACATTTATTTCAACATAATTGTTTTCCTTTACAATTCTATGTATTTAATTCTATGCACTTAAAGACATTATTAAGAGAAGGAGTCCAGAGGATTCACCAAATTGCCCAAGAGATTTATGACAAAAATGGTTAAGAACCCCTACTCTAAATGAAGACTAATCTTTGGCTAAAAGCCAGTCAACACTCTCAAAGCTTTTCAAATCCATGATTACTAAGAATAACGTCCTACTGAAATCATGTTGCTGACTTTTAAGGTTTTAAACATGATTTTTAAAGACATGGTCTTTCCTTACAGTCTCTAATTCTGAATTTGTGTGTACTAAAGCATGGTAATATTTTATTTAGATGCAGGTTCAAACATTTGCATGACTACCATACATCCTGGGGTTTTGGGGATAGTCATGAGGTTAAGAAAGTATACTTTAACAAGCCTTTGTAAACAAAATATTCTGTGTCAAGTCATATAGGCAAATTTGCCCAGTTGAATAGACTGGTGTCAGTTTTTAGATATAGGATAGTGCCAATTTTTAAATAATGATAATATACTTGCACAATGGGCATTTGTCAAGAGATAGTCACTAGTGGAAAATTAAAAAATAGTCATCACCCCTAAATTTCCTAACTATGTGTTCATCAGCAGGTAAGGAAAAATATAACAATGGAGGAAACTCATATTAATATGTATATAATAGTCATAATAACAATAACAATACTGGACATTTAAGGTTTGAAAAGAGCTTTTAGAGACATAATTTCATTTTATTCCTATAAAAAACAAACCTGTGAGGTAAAAGAGGTAAGGTAGGTAATAGAAGTTTTTCAGGCCCATTTAACACATTAAAAAATCAAGGGTAAAAGAGATTAAGTGACATACATGGTCACAGAGCTATTACATGTCAGAGGTAGGATTTGAACCCAATTTTCTTCTTACTGGAGATCTAGAATAATTGCCTCTGAATAAAGCTGATTTATTTTCATATGCAATTTCCACATAAAATAAAGGCACTTTAAAAGGCATTCTATGTGAATCATTTTCAGATCCTTTTTCTGATTAAAGCTATGCAATTGCTGGAAATATCAAGACACAAGGAATATAGATAGATCTTCAAGAAAATCATGTTGGTTTCTTGGTATTTCTTCAACTGCCAATTCTAGAAAGTTGCCTAGATATTTTATGATGCATATCCATTTCAAAATAAGGTCAACTAAAATTAATTTGGTCTTTCTAAACCATCAAGTAACTTGCAGAAAAATACTAATGTGTGAAAGTAAGAATCAATCTCTCTCTCTCTCTCTCTCTCTCTCTCTCTCTCTCTCTCTCTCTCTCTCTCTCTCTTTATCTCTCTGAGGAAAAAAGAAAAAACTCTAGAACAATGCTACTGTCTTAGATGTTAAGATGATAAGTAAGAAGAAGCAATACAACCTAGCACCCCATAAAAATCTAGCAAAGGCACCAAGCAGATGAATTCTGATCAGGAAAACCAAAAAAAAGTCACAGTAGTCATTTTTCTAGCCCAAGGCAGTTTAGAATGTTATGTGATGAGGAGTATTCTCAGCGTACAAAAAATGAAAGAGGCCATCAGAACTCACTGAAAATTGGAATTGGCTGACTTCATAGACATCAAAAAATAATAAAGTAAAAAAAAAATAAAAAAATAGAAAATGTGAAATGTCTCATCAAAACAACTGAGCTGGAAAATAGACTGAGGAGAAAAAAATTTAAGAATCATTGGACTAACTGGGAGGTATGACCCAAAAAACCCCCCCAGAACCTAGACACCATATTTCAAAGGAAAGAACAAATTATCGCATCAAAACTGAGAAGAGTGAATTCACAGCCAAAGAACATGAAATGAAAGCAATATTAGGAGCTATTTCACCCAACTACAATTAACAATCTAAATGAAATGGATGAATATTTGCAAAAATATAAATTACCCAGGTTAACAGAAAAGGAAACTGAACACTTAAATAATCCTGTGTTAGAAAAAGAAATTGAACAAGTCATAAATGAACTCCCAAAGAGGGGGAAAAAACCAGGATCAGGTGGATTCAAGTCTAAACATTTAAAGAATAATTGGTTTCAGAGCAGCTAGGTGGTGCAGTGGATAGAGCACCAGCCTTGAAGTCAGGAGGACCTGAGTTCAAATCCAGCCTCAGATCAAACACTTGACACTTATTAGCCATGTGACCCTGGGCAAGTCACTTAACCCCAATTGCCCCCCCCAAAAAAAATCCAAAAACAAAAAATTTAAAGCAATTAGTTTCAATACGTAAATTATTTTTAAAAATAAGTAAAAAGGGGGCCTTACAAAATTCTATCACACAAATATAATCTTGATACCTAAACCAGAGAGTCAAAACAGAGGAAAAAAAACACTATAGACCAATGGATATTGATGCAAACATTTTAAATAAAATGTTAGCAAGGACACTATAATAATATATCACAAAGATCACACCAGGCTCCACTTCTACCAGGTTTGCAGGGCTTTCACTATTTAGTTTCACTGTTAGTGAAATTATAAACATAACTAACCATATTGATAACAAAAAAGATCATATGATTCCTTCAATACATGCAGGAAAAAAACTTTGGCAAAATAAATTTATTCCTGTTAAAAGCACTAGAAAGCATAAGAATAAAAAGTGTTTTTCTTTGAAATGGTAAATAATAGCTATCTAAATGCAATGGAGCTATACCACAAGCCTTTCCAATAAGATCAAGGGTAAAGCAAGGATGTCCATTAACACCATTACTATTCAATCCAGTACTAGAAATGCTGGCTGTAGCAATAAGGTAAAAAATTGAAGAACGGTCAAGGAGGAAACAAAACTATAACTTTTTCTGGATGATGTTACAAAGAACAGCATGAAATCCATTAAAAAACTAACTGAAACTATCAACAATTTCAGCAAAGTTGCGAGATATAAAATAAACCCATACAAATCATCAGCATTTCAATGTATTACCAATAAAATCCAGTAGGATATATTATAATCAAAAGAACTATACACACATAAAATACTTGGGAGTCCACCTGCCAAGATACATAGAGAAACTACATGAATACAATTACAAAACACTTTTTACACAAATAAAGACACCTAAATAACTTGAGGAATATTAATTGCTCATGAGTAGGCAGAGCCAATATAATGAAATTGACAATAAAACTTAAATTAATTTACTTATTCAGTGTCAAAGCAACCAAACTACCATCAAATTACTTTACAGAATTAAGGAAAAAAAATTCATCTCAAGGAATAAAAAGTCAAGAATATCAAGAGAATTAATGAGAAAAAAAGTGAGAAGGAAAGAGGCCTAGCAATATCATATCTCAAACTATACTGCCAAACTATAATCATTAAAATAATTTGGTACTGGATAAGAAATAAAGAGATGATCAGTAGAAGAAATTAGAAACGCAATATACAGAAGCAAACACACACAATAATCCATTGCCTGATAAACAAGCAAACACACACAATAATCCATTGCCTGATAAACCCAAATATCCTGGCAATTGGGCCAAAAACTCAATATCTGACAAAACCTTTTTTGGAAACAAGAAAGCAATCTGGCAGAAATTATAGACCCGTGTCTCATACTGCATACCAGGTAAGCTCCAAATGGGTACATAATTTAATATAAAAGGTAACATCAAAAGCAAATCAGAACATTATGGAAGAAATTACCTGTCAGATCTAGGGATAAGGGAAGAGTTAATGATCAAACAAGAGACAGAATGGGATACAAAAGGTAAAATGGGAAATTTTGGTGAAATAAAGTGTTAAAAGATTTTTTTCAAACAAAACCAATGTGATAAAAATTAGAAGAGATAAAAGAAACTGGGAAGGGGGAATCTTTGTAGCAACTTTCTCTGAAAATGGTCTAATTTCTGGGATATATAGGAATCTGAGTCAAATTTAGAAGACTAAGGGCCATTCCCAAACTTATAGTCAAAGGATAGACAGTTTCCAGAGGAGGAAATCCAGGCTATCAATAACCATATGAAAAAATGTTCTAAAGCACTAATAACTAGAGAAATGCAAACTAAAACAGCTATGTAGTATCAACTCATACCAATCAGATTGAGAAAGATGACAAAAGAGGGAAATGACAAATGTTGGTGAACAGATCCAGATGTTCTGGAAAGCAATTCAGAACTATGTTAAAAATTATTAAGCTGTGCCTACCCTTTGATCTAATGATACTGCTGGGAGGGCCCAAGAAGATCAAAGAGGAAAAGGATTTATAAGTACACAAAAATATTTATCCTGGCTGTTACGTGATAGTAAAGAATTGGAAACTTGAGGGGAGGCTGTACATGTTATGGCATATGAAGGTGATGAAATATTATTGTGGTATAAGAAATGATGAAGAGGATGGTTTGAGAATGAACTGATGCAAAGTGAAATGAACAGAATCAGGAAAAAATAATTTATATAACGATATTAAAAAGATAAACAACTTTGAAAGACTTGGCAACTCTTGGTAGTCACAAATCCAGGACTATGATGAGACATGCTACCCACTTCTGATAGAGAGATGATGAACTAAAAGTACAGATTGATACTTATTTTCTTTTTGGATTTATCTAATGTGAGAATGTTTTTCTTCACTATACATATTTGCAACAGGTTTTGTTTTTCGTGCCCTCTCAATGGGTACAAGAGGCAAATGAGAGGGAGAAAATTTGGAACAAAAAATAAAATTAAAATAAAATACAGTGAACACTTTTCTCCATCATACATATTCAAGACAAAGATGAAACAACATAATTTCATATTTTGATTGATTTGTCTTGATTTGGAGTTTCATTCAAATTAGTATGATAATGAAAAAGTCTTTCTATTCAGACACATCTAAACCTTCTGCTTGTTCTATTGTGGGCCATATAGATTCATAAGAATGGATAAGGAAACGACTGTAAAACCTAATTCTATTTTCCTGAAGACTGATTTGGGAATTATATGTTAACAAGTGATTATGCTTTAAAAAACTATGCATTTTAAAAAGTCACCTCTTGAAACTCTGCCATAAGATAAGACTGATAAAAAAAAAAAGACCTCTCAACTTTTAGATAAATACTTGTATTCTTCTAAAAAGTACCTTTTAAGATAGGTCTTGCAAGAAACTTGTTATTATTAGCAATGACTTCTTCCATAAATCCTTATAATAAAGGCATTGGCTCCATTTTACAGATGCTGGACACTGAGTAATTACAGGACTGGTCCAAGATAAATATTGGGGTGTTCTGACACTCAGTCTGGTAACTCCAAGTACTTACACATTTAAAATTAAAAAGAATTTCTAACTGCTTTTTAAATTAAAGGTATGGGTACAGATAACTCATTTAGGAATTTACTCTTAAGTCCTAATTTTTAAGCAATGCTTTATTGAAACAGATCATGGCAATATACCTATTTATTGCCATATCCATAGGAAGCTTTTCAGTTTAAGAAGGCCTTTCCTTATGTTAAACCACAGGATATCAAGTCAGCCAGAATACTTTAGCTAGTGAATTCTTGTTTTGAATTTCCAAGTGCTATTGAAAGAAGTTCTTCAAGCCCTTTTTCTCTGGGATTCTAGCTTCCAGATAACATCTTCATTACCCTGAACACTTCATCTCCATGTATATTCCAACCATTTAGTTATTGTCTTGACGACAGAAGTACAGGAGATTTCCTAGGTCTGTTGGAACAAGAGTAAAACATTTGCTAGCAAGCAAAGTATGAATAACATACAAAGTGGCAGATTAAAGCGTACTGCACTGGCCATGCCACCAAAGGTGTATCTCAATCTGAATAAGGATATGCTCAAAGACAGGAAACCTGAAGTACATTATATGACTGCCTTGCTTTAAACATGAGATTGATGCGAACCCTGAATCAAAGAAATAAGGAAAGGTTGGGGGGGGGGGGGTAGCACTAATGAATACTAACCTCATCCTGCCAAATCACAGAGAGAACGCAAGAGAACACTGGCTCTCTTCCTTCTCTACTAGAGGATCCTAAACTGAGTATGTGGGGTCAGAATAAGGACTCACTACGATGGTGGGGTACTATCAATTTAAATAGCACTAGAGGAGATCATACTTTATGACCATATCTAAATGGAGCAAAGTTATGGTTGTCTCGTAATATAGTGAAGTAGTGGAGGAAATAGATCCAGTATTTCTTTTAGATGTCCTACTTATATTTCAATTAGGATTATAATAGCAAAATAGCTGACATTTATTTAACACTTTAAGGTTTATAAAGTAGTTTACATATATTATTACATTTGATTTGATCATTTGATTATTACCTGGATATCATGTTATCAGTGTCCTAGATTATAAATTACTATGAGCTGTGAAAATGCTACATCTATATCTATTTAACCATATTATATAGCTGATAAAATCAATCAACTGGCCACCAAGTATTTATTGATTTAGCCTATATTCCAGGCTACAAATAACTGAGGTCCTTTAAGATGAAATGTAAGGCATCAGCTATATGAATTTGATGTCTGCTGGACCACAACATTTACTCACCGTGACTGGTTCTGAAAAATAAAGTATTCAGTGGTCAGAGGGGGCCAGATATTGAATGAAAAGTCATAAAATTCAGTTTCTAAGTAGGCAGATTTGCTCACCTGTAATTGTTGCTGTAGGTGGGTGATTTCAGCAATTCTAAGTTCTCTGGATTTGTTTGTGCTTTCAATTTCTTGCCTTTGCATGGCTAATCGACACCTGATATCTTGAAGTTTTCCTTCCAGTTGATGTTTTTTATCATTCTTCAACAAAAGACATAGCAAGACAGAATTATAATAATAAGGCATTTCAAGTTTCTAGAAGTTTAATGATCATGAAACAAAAATATTAAAATCTAAAGATTCTAGAAAATAATACAAGAAAAAATAGCTCAGTTACTGATTACAGATAGCTTTCCCACAGTGCAATCCACACTCCAAACAAAAGTGATCTGGTTAAGGTTCCCCAGGCTTGGCCTTCCATGCCTCTGCCCAGACTATCCCCCGTCCTTAGAACGCTCTCCCTCCTGATCTCCACCTTTTGGAATCCCTAGCTTCCTTCAAGCTGAGCAAGCAGCACCTACTTCAAGAAGTTCTTCCTAATGCACCCAGTTGTTATCACATTCATCTTCTAAATCACTTTGTATTTATTTCACATACATTCTATATGTACTTATCTATGAACATAACACATCTCCCCAGCAGAATATAAGCTTCTCAGTGCTAAGTCAATAAATATTTGGTGATTAAAGCAGCACATGACTGACCAACACAAATTCTGCTACCAGTTTTAGGGCTACATCTCAGAGCAATTACCAAAGCATGACAGAATGTCACTTACTAGAGCTTCTAATTCAAATTCCAAAGTCTTTTTCTTTGCCTTCAGAACAACTATGTCTTCTTGCTCTTTGTTTCTTTGATTCAACAGTTCTTGCCGCCGATTCCGTTCCCACTCAAGCTGTCGTTGTCTTTCAAGTTCTCTTTTTGCAGCCTACATTGCAGAAAAAAGTAAGTAGGGAGGGAGAAAGAGACACAGAAACAGAAAGCCAGACAGAAACAGAAACAGAGAGGTAGAGGGAAAGAATGGGAGAGAGGGAGAGAATGGAAGGGGTGAAGTGAGAGAGACAAAGGAAGAAGAGTATAAAAAGGAGGGATAGAGAAGAAAAGAAGAAAAAGGGAAAGAAAGAAGAAGAGGGAAACAAGGGAGAAAAAGAGAGATTTGTTTTGTTTCCTATGATGTTATTTCATGATACAAACTCCATTTTCAGAGTTGAAGTCATTTTTAGCCAAGTATACAAATTTGGCGAAAATGTCATATACAAATTTTGTGACCATGTAGAAAATGCATAAAGATGTAGTACAGCAAGAAAAAAATGGCATTTCTCTTTTGAATATTGAATATACATTATTTTTCCATTATAAGGAAATGAAACATATAAAGAATATCAAATAAAGCTACATTTGCATACAATTAGAGGTTACTGGCATCATATTTTGCTTAGGCCCCAGTAAGATATAAAGTCTTCATACATTTTATATATTTGATACTAAGCAAAGACAACATTTTTTCTTCCTGATGTAGTTGACAGTAAGGGAAAAAACTAAATTCATTACAAGTTTGAAAGAGTCCCTTAACCAAAATTATTCTTAACTAAAACTTTACCTTTTCACCAAACTTTCAAGACTATTTGATATTGGCTGAGATATCATCATCACAGATTTAGAGCTAGAAGGGACATCTAGTCCAACCTTTTCATTTGGCAGAAAAGGAAACTGAGTCCCCGAGAAATTAAGTGAAGGAGGTAAGAAGTGGTAAAAAACCTCTCTCACTCAAAATTCAGCAATTCTTTCCACAGGGCAAATCCACATGGAAATATCCTGTATTTACTCTCAGGAAAGGAACTTGAAACTTGAAAGCTAAGAACCATCATTTATTGTTTATGTATGACAATATGTATGTAGGATTACAACATATGTACATCCACACGATATCTACTAAACTATAATTTTATCACTGCAGATACTACTTTCACTGACACATTTTAAGTCTTCCTAGATCTTTTATGGGTTGTTAGTTCCAATATATTAATTACCTGATGACCAACCCTGTCTAGAAATGAGCTTCTCCAATCTTAAGTTGCTTCTCTGATAACACAGTGTATCACTGGACTAGATCAAATGAGATAATATGAAAGGATTAGCACAGCACCTAGCACATAGTAGGTGCTTAATAATGCTTGTCTCCTTCCCTACTCAAAGTATCACTGCCATATTTTAGGAAAGGACAAAGATACATACTTATTTTATATGTATGTGTATGTATATGTATAAATGTATGTATGTACGCATGTATGCATAAATAAATCCTACTCTGCTGCCTCATCATAGTGTGGAAATGATTCTAGGTTCACAGGTGCTATACCTGTGAAGTACAAGCTATGGGAAGTCCTCCTAACCTAATCAGAATATGGCCCTGGTTGCAGGCAGTCATTCATGGACCAATATAAACTATATTCAGAGAAGCTGATCACTGGAAAATTAACGAGGTAATGAATTCTTTTTGGTTATGGCAGAAAACCACCTACAAAGATATTAAGGGGTACCATTCACTATCAGTGAATGAAATAATTTATCTTCAAAGTACCAAAATACTATGAAAACAAGGGGAAAAAATTGGCTTCATAACTCCAGAAGCTGGTGTCAAGAGAAGAATCAGAATCATTTGGGATTTTTTTAATAGGTGAAATACACGATGACTTTAAATTTTATTTCATCTACACAAGCCACGCAACATTGATGAGCAATTCAATAGTCACTTACCTCACGTCTTTCAATTTCTTTCCTCCTCTCTTCTTCCCTCTGACGTTCCAGTTCCCGCTGTTTTTCCAATTGTTTTTCCAGCTCTACCTGCCTTTTTCGCTCCTGTTCCTGACGTTCTCGCTCTTTCCTTTCCTGCTCGGCCCGTTCGAGCTGTGCCAGGCGCTCCTGCTCTTTACGCTGCTGTTCTAATAGAGCCTGTCTTCTCTTTTCAAGTTCCAGATTGCCTCGTTCAAAGTTTTCCCGTTTTTTATCTTCAAATGTCACTTTAAATTAAAAAACACAATAATTTTAAAAATACACTTTTTAATTAAACATACTGGTTTGAAGAAAGAGAAAGTCACTAACCTGGCAATATGGAATATACATCAGAACTATGAAACAGTAGGTCCTGATTAACAAAATTAACTAATGACATTACAGCTGAAGTTAGTTCAGATATTTTGGGTTTTTGCTATTAATTCAAAATTTGACAACCACCTAAGAAGCTCTTTAATATGCTCAAATCATAAGAAGGAGAAAGGCTATCTAAGAGATACTTTTGAAACATCTATGTGGAACAGAGCTTTGGACTTGCAGTCAGAAAGTCCTAAGTCCAAATCCTGTCTCAGACTGAGGACTTTCTGACCACAAGTCCAAAGCCTATCTCAGACATTAATTGTGTGACCATGAGCAAGTCATATACAGCTAGGTGGTGCATTACCTGGAATGCCAGACCTAGAGTCAGAAAAATCTTGGTTCAAATTTGGTTTCAGGCACTAACGACTTGTGTGACTCTGAGCATTTATAAAACGAGCTGGAGAAGGAAACAGCAAACTACTCCAGCATCTTTGCCAAGAAAATTTCAAGTGAGGTCACAAGGAGTCAGATATGACTGAAATGACTGAAGAACAAGGAAAGTCACTTAAAGTGATTTGAGTCCCAGCCTCAGTTTCCCCATTTGTAAAATAAGGATAGTATCTGCTTCACAGAACTATTGTGAAAATTAAATGAGATAACATATGTAAGGGGCTTTGCAAAACCTTAAGATGCTATAAAAATGTTAGCTATTATTACTATTTTCTGGTTTAATCTACTTTTACAGATGTAAAAAAAAAAACAACTGAGGAGACCAGAAAGGTTAAATGATTTCTGATATGCCACAAAGGTAGTAACAGTAGTAGCGCTGGGATCTGAACCTTAGTCCTATGACTCCTGAGGTTCCACTAACCTCTATTACTTCATCTCTCAACTTCGCTACTGAATTTGCTATTCTCACCGGTGGCTCTTCTAAACATTTTCATCTATTCTCAAGTCTCTACACAGCAATGCTCTCCCTTGCACGCAAAGCACTGAGAAGTTTCTGGTGCTTAGTGATGCTTGTTCCCTCCCTCCCCTTTCTCCACTCCCCACTCACCCGAGGACCTAATTTTGCACTTCACCAAAAACAGAGGTCATTTGACAAGAGCTCCGTTTTTCCCTCTCTTCTTCATTTCACATCATTCAGACATCTTCCTCCACCATCTCATCCTTCACCCTTGTCTCATACAAAGAGCTGTCCCTTCTCCTTGCCAAGGCATAGCCCTCAAAATGCACCCTATATCTCATTCCTTCCCTTCTGCACCAGCAGACTGGCCCATTTATCATTCCCACTTCTAATCTTCAACTTCTCCCTATCAGTTCCCTGATGTCTACAAACACACCACTATCTCTCCCATCCTTAAGAAACCTTTACTTGATCTGATCATCCCTGCTAGCTACCATACTGTATCTGTCCTCCCTTTCTTGGTTGCACTCCTTTAAAAATCTGTCTACACTAGGTTCCTCCACTTCCTAACATTTTAAGCCCTCCACAAACTGCCCTCTTACCACCTCACTCACCTGAAATTGCTCTCTCCAAAGTCACCAATGTCTTAATTGTCAGATCTAATGGCCTTTTCTCAATCTTCACCTTTATTAACCTATTTGTAGTATTTGGCACTGTTGACTACTTCTGGATACTCTCTCCTTACTAGGTTTTCTTGACACCACTCTTGCTCGGTACCCTCTGACTGCTCCTTTTCTGTTGAATCTTCATCCAGATCATGCTCACTAATCATGGGTTTCCCCCAAGGCTCTTCCCAGACAAAGGTTCAGTTACCATCCCTTAGGATGTGATTCCCAGATCTATAGATCCAGCTCCAATCCCTCTCCTTAACTTTAGAACCGCATCATCGAATGTCTTTTGAACATCTCAAACTAGATGTGTCCTGAAGGCACGTCAAATTCAACATATCCAAAATAGAATTCATATTTCCTCCCAAACCTCCCCTTTCTCCTAACTTTCCTATTACTGTCTAGTGCACCAGTTACATAGGCTTCCAACCCTGGCGTCATCCTTGACTCCTCATTCACTTCCCTCCCACACATTGTACATGCACATCATCTTTCATCTAGATCCCTCTCTCTCTACTTACACAGACACAACCCTAGTTGAGTCCCTTATCAACTCTTGCCTAGATCACCACAACAGCCTTCTAATTGTTCTCTCTGCCTCAAGTCTCTTCCCACTACCATCTATCCTTGATTCATCTACCAAAGTGATTTTCCTAAAGAACAGGTTTGATTCCATCACCTCTTCCACTTAGTGATCTCCAGTGGCTCCCTACCATCTCAAAGATGTTTGGCTTTTGAAGACCTTCATAAGCTAACTCCTTCTTACCTTTCCAGTATAATAACAACAACAACAACAATAATAACATATACTTTATTCTTCTCGATATACCCCATAATCAAGCTACATCGGCCTACTTGCTGCTCCTCACACTTGACCCTCCATCTCTTGACTCCCACACCTAAAATGCTCTCCCTCCTCACTTCCTCCTCCTGTCTTCGTGGTCTCCTTCAAGATATCTTAAATACTACCTTTTGCAAAAAGACTTTCCTGGTCTCTCCTTATTCCCAAATCCACCAGTGCCTTCTCCTTTAAATTACCTTCTATTTGTACTGTATATATCTTGTATGTCCGTTAAGTAGTCTCATGTTGTTTATTAGAGAGTGAAATCCTTGAGAATAGATTCCATGTTTTTGTCTTTGTAGCCACAGTACTTAACACAATGCTGGACGTGTAGTCAGCTCTGAACAAATGCTTATTAACTGATTCTCACATATGAAAAATTAAATAAGTGTTTACTGATCTATTATGATGTATACCTCAATCAGGGTCTAGAACTTTTATATCCTTTTAAAAATGTAAATGCTGTAATCAATGGTAAAACCACTGGCATGTCTTAAGGATCTCAGAAATTTGAAAGACTCCAAAGATTCCAACTATTATAGCTGAGCTTGAAGGAAAATTTTCAGATAAGTTGTTTAATTCAAATTACTTTTTTAAAAACTGGTTTGACATGTGATTTCATCAGCACAGGGAACACATCAAGTAGGAAAAACCCTACAGTAATAAGGACTGACAATTTGTCTATAAACAATGATCTTAGAGAGTTGGCTACAGTTACTGAGACATTACGTGATTTGTCCAAGGTCACACCTACTAACATGTCAGAAGCAGGACTAAAACCAAGACCTTCCTACTTCAAGGCCAGCCCTCTACCCACTATACCACATTATGTATCTGAGTGCTTTACCTCACAAAAATTAAAATTGGAAGCATTTACATTTTATTTACAGCATTCAGTAGTTCAATATTTAATAGAGGGTGCTCAGATTCAGAGTTATTCTGAATGCACTATCTAGTGATCAACATGCTATTAGGTATACTATCAGAAGTAACTACACTGATACTACATGTTATGACACCAAAGGACAAAAGGAAATTGCAGCTAAATGGAAGGAAGGCTCACAGGTTCTCCTTGAAGAAGCAAACAAAAGAGCTGGCAGATCTTGCACCCAAAGGCAATAAACATCGCTTCAAGTAACCCTTAGTCATTTTGTCTTGCAGTGCTTATAATGAGTACTAATAAAAAAGCCACTATGAAGATAATTGCAACTTGAGCTTGAAAATCTGCTGCAGAGAATGGAGACATAAAGAAAATCCACGTACAATTTGACAAGGTGCTTCTTTTGAATACTTTACTACTAGGCAACATAAATCCAAATATGGGCACAGAGAAGGATGGAAAAAAATATTGGAAAATACAGTTTATGTTTAAGAAATGGAAAAGACCAAAAGTTACAGACAGTAAGTATAGCAGGGTTCTACATCTATGTGTCATGAATATCTCTCCAGGCTCAAGAGTTGGGACAATCTGGGCAAGGTAAACACTGAACATTACCAAACAAGTAACTGACTACATTTTAACAAACAGGAAAAGACTGCTAACTCATATGGGATTCCTATGAGAGTGAGTTGTCTGGCTCAATCACTCTACTACTTGGTAAGAGCAACAGTCAGTCTCCAGTCAGAAGAATGAATGTAAGAAGATGTCACCACATATAATTGTTACAGCTGACTTATTCAGGTGATCCATCTGTGTCAAAAATGGGAAATGGAAATAGGAAAAGATATCGATATTGTTAATTTAATATTGTTAACCACTGTAATGCAGTTACCACAATTAGAAGGCCAAAAGAGCTCAGGTATCATTATACATACCAAATCCTTGCTCTCCTTGCTACATGGATAAACACAGCAGCTAAAGCAAACAACAATTTATAATGTAAACCCATTTTTAAAACACCACAGAAGATCACTCCAGCAAAATTAAAGAAAAGCTATTTTCTATAATCTTTTCCAATCCCCAAACTTCACAATAAAGCAATTATATTCCAGATATGGACCAATTAGAGTTGAATACATAAAAAAGGAAGACAACCTCGATACAAGGTAAAACTTCATGAATTAACATGGAATAATTTTAATAGAGGTTTTATTCAATGTGCCCTGCTCCTGGAACCCATTACCATGACCACAAGCAAGTCTGTAGGCTTATAGTTCAAGTCCTAGTAGGGAATACCCATGGCAGTGCTTCGGCATGAACACACATCCCACCAACTCTCCAAGAAGTGACACATGTGTATTTTATTCAGCCCTTTCAAGAGACAGAGACAGAAAGAGAGAGACAAAGACAAAGAAAGAGTGAAAGAGAGAATGGAAAAGTAGACTGACTTGAGCAGAACAGAAGACATGCATGACGCTCAGAGACATAAGCTAGATGGCAACAAAGATTAGACTTGAGGAAACCATTTCCCACTTCTCCCCTCCCCTAGCCGGGTTGGGACCCAGACACAAGATGAAGATTTGAATGTTTAATTTATATGGCAAGGTCTTGCACACCACCCTATGCAATCA